CACAAATAAAATTATTATTGTTATTATTAATAATAATAATGTACATATCCAATGCATATATATAATTTGTAATTTGTAATTTGTGTTGAAGTAAAATGTGCATAGCTTTCCCTTTCATTTAAAAGAATCACATAAACACACATCTACATAACGTCTGCCTTCCCTAAATAGACACTTATTTCAAGTATCAAAATATCCACATTCTGCTCATGGGAATTTTAAATCTAGACACTGAATTCATTTTTATCCACACCCTTGTACTGTTTTGAGGATACCTTCTCTGCTATTTACATTAGACTAGCCATGCTATGAAATGTATCAGTCCCCAGGCAACTTGAAGGTGCACATACACACACTATTTGGGATATTATTCTTCCCAGACATGCCTTTTGTAAGGTTCATCACAGCAGCAACTGGGAAAGGTCCAGAAAATGACATCAGACCCAAAATTTCCGCTCAAAAGCTGTTCCAAAACCTTCAGTAATCCACCCTCCCACAGTGAGCCATAGAAAATGTGGCTTATCACTTCTGCTTATTCTAAATCAGGAAGAAAAAGCACAGTTGAGGTGGGGAAAATAAAACAATCCAGCTAAACAAAGAGAAAAAAAGGCCCCACCTGGAACACCACCTCTAATTCTATGTGTCTAGTTTAGGCCTTCCAGTCAATGGCCCCTTTATGAAAGTCCTCAAGTAATCAGGATTGATTCCAGGCAAGTGTAAATCAGTTTTGAACACTAGGCCAAAAAGACAAGCAGTTGTGGCCCAGAGAATTGGAGATCCAAGACAAAACACTGTAGTCACCACTTAAGAGCTTCTCTTGCAGATATAGGAATCCATATCTACATAGGTTTTGTGTTTAAAAGCCTTCCAGTGTTGTATTGTTTTTAAACACTGTTTCTTCTTTGAGTCAAGCTGGAGGAGGAGGAGGAGACTCGGGATTCGAAGTGAAAACGGATCTATTTTCCAACCCTTTGTTGCTTTCCTATGCCTTCAAATGGTCTGGTCCTATAGCTTTTTCTAGGAAAGGCAGGCATTACAAAGTGTTCCTGACTTAGTGGGGGATGCAAATGCATAAAAGAAGCCCTGGAGGGTCATTGCTAAGAGCAGGCTTATTATGGGATGGCTCCCCGAGGAAGAAATACGAGGAAATGTAGCACAGTAAGTAAATCACAGGTAAGCTTGGGAAAATCCTGATACACAAAGTCCCTAAACTGGTGTGTGACTTCCAGAGTCATGTTTCCTATTAGGAAATCTCTCTTTTTCCTCATTTCTTCTCCTGACTCTTGTCTTGCCAAATATTTGTGGGGCGGGGAAGGAAGGAAAAACATTCAAAGTAATGAAGATTCAGCCAAAAGGTCATTGAATCGGTATAATATGCGCCCACTGAATGCTTAATCTGAGCCGTGGTGGCACAATGGGTTAAACCCTTGTGCCATCTGAACTGCTGACCTGAAGGTCAGCGGTTGGAATCAGCAAGACGGGATGAGCTCCCATCTGTCAGCTCCAGCTTCCAATGCGGAGACATGAGAGAAGCCTCACACAGGGTGGTAAAACTTCTGGGCGTCCCCTAGGTAACGTCCTTGCAGACTGCCATTCAGCCCGTGAAGGAACCCATTGGGAAAGAGTTTTAGGGTAAAACCTCCGGGAGTCCCCTGGGAAACGTCCTTGTAGACGTCCATGAAGGAAGCCATTGGGAAAGAGTTTGCGAGTGGGAACAAATCCAGGGCTCTTTCACCTTCTCCATCAAAGAGAACCCCCGGTACAATGGGTTGAATCCTTGTGCCTCTTCCAATCACCTTCCACAAGGATGGTAAAACATCAAAAACATCCCCTGGGGCAACGTCCTTGAAGACGGTCAATTCTCTCACACCAGAAGCGACTTGCAGTTTCTCAAGTTACTCCTGACACAAAAAAAGCCCCCAAAGTGTTCAAATTCTACCACAATGGCTACCTCGTGTGATTCCATAGCAGTTCAAGTAGTGTCAAACTGCATTGATTCTATAGTGTGGATGCACTTCCGCCTAACAATAAATGAGATTATACATAAGTGTTGAAAAGCAGGAAGGGGATCCATCCCTTGAAAAACGCATAGTCAGCTAAGGCTGCCATATAACCCATGCAGATAATCCGGATTATTTACTTTGGATTATATGAATCCACATTGCCATATAATCCAGTTCAAGGCAGATAATCCGGATTTTATATGGCAGTGTAGATGGGGCCTAAATCTTCCCTGGTCCCCACTGAGCTGTGGATAAAGGATCTTCGATCTACTGTGAGATGCAGCTACACTGCAAAATTAATTCAGTTTGACACCACTTGAACTGTCATGACTCAGTGCTATGGAGGGCTGCAGTTTTACAACGTCTAAGCTTTGTCTGACAAAGTCATGATTCTAAAGCTCTTGGTAGTTCAGGTGGGGTTAAACTGCATGCATTCTACAGTGCAGATGCACACTTCTTGCTCCCCTTTCAGGACGAGAAGAGAGGGATGCGAAAGTCAATATCCCTTTCTATATCCCTTCTCAATAGTGACCCTTGTTGGGTGAAGGTTGTTCAAGCCAAGCGATGCCATCCAACCGAGCTGGAAGGGCTGCTTCTGCCCCTCTGTTCACCTCCTCCTTCTCCTCCAAACGTGGTCTGAATGCGGCCCAGGGCTGGGACGGGGCGCCCTCAAGTGGCCGAACCTTGCCATTGCAGGTGCAATGAAGAAAAAGCCCTTTGGAAAAGACATTGACTTGGGGAATTCAGACTGAGAGGTGTGAAGGACTTGCCAGATCCTCAGGCTGTCTCTCTGGATCTTCTTCTTTTTTTATCCAGTTCTACAAGTCTTCCATTCTACAAGTCCCTAACTGGCTTAACAATATAGAATCCATGCAGTTTGACCCCCAACTTTAACTGTGATTTGCCATTTGGTGAGATAACTAATACTGCAAGGCCACTCAATGCTAATCAAAGTGGACAATTGCAACACTCACACTTCCGAGTTCTTTCTCCACCCTGGACTTTCCACAGATATATAACCCCCACTTGCCTAATTTCCAAAAGCCCTCACAACCTCTGAGAGTGCCTGCTATAGATGCAAGCAAAACTTCAGGAGAAAATGCTCCCGGAACATGGCCATACAGCCTGGAAATCTCACAGCAACCCATAACCAACCCATAACTAATACTTTTTAGCAGAGAAGGCTTTGAGACCTTGCAAAACTACAACTGCAAGGACCCCATAGCATTGACACATGGCTGTTTAAAAGTAGGGTAAAGCTTCATTCATTCTGCACCCTCAGATCTCCCCTTTGTTCCTTGTTTCTTTGGGATTTTTGAGAACTGGATAGAAGGAAGAGTCCGGTTGTGTTGACTGGCATCCTTTGTGGTGATCGTACAATACAATGGCATTTTATAGGTAAGGGGAAATTAGATAGGGGTCATGTTGGTTGATGTTAGGCTGCCCTGTAATGCAGATTGAATTTGCACTATATGGTCAGTGCAGAGCCATACATTCAGGATGTTGAGCTGGTTTATTTTAGGTTGGATCCCTATTTCCATGTAATGCAGTTTGAATCTGCACTATATGGTCAGTGTAGAGCTATGCATTCAGGATGTTAAGCTTACGTTCGGCTGAATCCACATTGCCATGATGTATTGCAGTTTGAATCTGAACTATATGGTCAGTGTAGAGCCATACATTCGGGATCTTAGGCTGGTTTATGTTAGGCTGGATCCACATTCCCATGATGTAATGCAGTTTGAATCTGCACTATATGGTCAGTGTACAGCCATACATTCAGGATGTTAGACTGGAATATACATATTAGGCTGGATCCACATTCCCATGATGTAATGCAGTTTGAATTTGCACTATATGGTCAGTGTAGATCCATACATTCAGGATGTTAGGCTGGTTTATATTAGGCTGGACCCACATTGCCATGTAATGCAGTTTGAATTTGCACTATATGGTCAATGTACAGCCTTATATTCAGTATGTTAGATTGGCTTATGTTAGGCTGGATCCATATTGCCATGATGTAATGCAGTTTGAATCTGCACTATATGGTCAGTTTAGATCCATACATTCAGGATGCTAGGCTGGTTTATGTTAAGCTGGATCCACATTGCCATGATGTATTGCAGTTTGAATCTTCACTATAGGGTCAGTCTAGCACCCTATATTCAGGCTGGATCTACACCACCCTCATGTCCCAGGATCTGATCCCAGATTATCTGCTTTGAACTGGATTATATGAGTCTACACTGCCAGATAACCTAGGATATAGGCCAGTATAGATCCAGCCGCAGTTCAACTGCGTGATATGGTCAGTTAATCCGCATTATATGGCAGTGTAGATCCAGCACTGAGATTGATGATCTCCTGGAGCAACTACATAACCCCTCATCCACTTGCATCCATCCCTGGTTTCAACCCGGAGGCAGGTCTCCACAAAAAAACCCAAATGCCTCCTAAGGGATCCAAGGGCCTCCTTTCAGGCCTGTCAAGCGACAATCCGATTCGCTCCCCACCCCGCCCCCTTTGGCGTCCACACCACACCCCGCTCTGTCTCACTCCGCTTCGCTTTGGCGGAGTTCTTACTCTTCCTTCGATCCCGTGAGGATTGGCCAAAGCGCCCACTACTAGGACAGCGCTTCAGCTCTCCCTTAACTCCAGAAAGAGGAGAGCAACATCACGCATCGTCCCGAGTCGGAGAAATGGGAGTTGTAGTCCAGTTTAAGGGCCCTGGCTTGGAGGGAGGCTGTGGGTGAAGAAGGTCGGGAAGAAACGTTTGACACGCTTTCCCCGGATCGGGGACCTTTTAACTCCCAGCCTGGAGGCAAATAGGAAATAGAACTTTTAGAACCCACTGAGAGAGATGGGACGGCGGAACTCCACGCCACTGGAAAGAACTGCTGCTCCTCTCCTGCTTTCCGCTACTCTGGAGGAAGCAACACTCAGGCTGGGTGAAGGGGGAAAGGGGTCTCGGTGGGTGTCGGGAAGGCAACTCACCAGGTAGAGAGCCGGTTGCAGCAGGAGCACGGCGTACCAGTAGAGCGGCTGCATCCTCCCGGCTCACACTCCCTCGGCTTGGCCTTGGCTGGCGCTGGCTTCCTCCTGGGACATATAGATCCACCGGGCGGGCATCGACTTCTTCAAGGAAGGTCCGGGAGAGCGGGGGCCAACCTAGAGCGGGAGGAAACCAGAGGATCCATGACCAGAACTGGCAAAGGACGGGAGGAAGATGGCGGGGAGGAGTGGCAGGACGGAGCGAGGGGCAGGCAAAGGGCAGCCCTGGTGGGTCATTCATTCCCCCACCCCAAAGAAAGGAGACAGCAAAGGGCGGGAGAGGATGCGGAGGAGAGGGATGTGGTCACCACTTCCTGAGGAAGGACTTCGTGGGTATGTGGATCCAACCTTGGAGCCCCCATCTGGATCCCAAACGATCTTTTGGACAGCCCCTCTTTGTGTGTCTGTGTGTCTGGAGATGGAGAAAAAGCTTTTCCCGGAGATCAGTGGGAATGGGGTCAAGATCCAGGGACTTGTGGACCTCTCAAGCCACACTCACACGAACAAGTGTGCCTGGATTGATAGGGAAGGCAGTGAAAAGGAGAGCTTTCCCCAGAGATCAGTGGGAGTGTGGGTCAAGATCCAGGGGCTTGTGGACCCCTCATGCCACACTCACACGAACTAGTGTGCCTGGATTGATTGGGAAGGCAGTGAGAAGGAGAGCTTTTCCCAGAGATCAGTGGGAGTTTGGGTCAAGATCCAGGGGCTTGTGGACCTCTCAGGCCACGCTCACACGAGCAACTGTGCCCGGGTTGGTGGGGAGAGCTGCCCAAGGGATGAGTTGGGGTCTGGATCACATAACACGCAAGAGATCCGTCCTTCTTGACTGACTTTCCACCCAAGGCTCCAAGGTCAAAGGTTGCTCCTCGGATCACAAACATACGGGTCTCTCACTCTGGACTGGCTTTGAACCCGGGTTCAGAGCTGCGGGGTTGACACGCGGGGCCAAAGTTGTCCCTCGGATCCACATCCATGACCATGCGTGGCTCTTTCACCCGGATCTGCTACTCTGAACTTGGGTTCCAACTCCAAAGTTGACCCGGGTTGTCTCTCTATCCCCACACACAGGGGTCTCTCATTCTGAACTGGCTTTGAACCCAGGTTCAGGGGTGCAGGGTTAACACACGGGACCAAGGTTGCCCCTCGGATCCAGATCCATTTCCATGCATGGCTCTCTCACCCGGATCTACTACTCTGAACTCGGGTTGCAACTCCAAAGTTGACCCGGGTTGTCTCTCGCATCCATCCACACATACACAGGGGTCTCTCATTCTGAACTGGCGTTGAAGCCGGTTCGGGGCTGCAGGGCTGACACGCAGGGTCAAGGCTCTTCCTTGGATCCAGATCCATTACCATGCACGGTTCTCTCACCCAGATCTGCTACTCCGAACTCGAGTTCCAACTCCAAAGTTGACCCTGGTTGTCTCTCGCATCATCCACACACACACATAGTCTCTCATTCTGAATTGACTTTTAACCCTGGTTCTGGCCTCGGGCGTCCAAAATTAACACGCATTCCTATGGTCCACACAGACAACCGATCTCTCACCCGATCCGGGTTCAAAGGCTCCGAACAGCCTTTGAACCCTTGTCCTGGGCTCCTCCAGCGTCCTGAGGCTGACTCGCGGAGCAAAGGTTGCTCCTTGGATCCACACTCACACAGACACGGGTCTTTTCCCTCTAACTGGTTATGAATCCAAGCTCTAGCGTCTCAAGGTTATCAATCCCCTCGGATCCATACACACACAACCATTCAGAAGGTCTCTCATTCTGAACTAGCTTTGAACCCATGCTCTGGGCTCCAAGGTTGACACGAGTTTCCAAGGTCCATACATAGGGTTCTCTCCCCCGGATCGGTCACTCAGAAGTAGCTTTGAACCCGTGTTCTGAGCTCCAAGGTCCAGAACACGGAGGATGAGGATAGATCCACATACATACCAGGCTGTCTCACTCTTCAACCCAGAACCGAGGCTCCAACGTCCGAGGCTGCACACACACACACAACCAGGCATTCCGAAGTGGGTTTGAACTCGCATATAGACGCATACAGACACGCACAGACCCGCCTGCCCCGTCCCTTTGTCCCCTAAGTCCCGCGATGGGAGAGGAGGGGGATATCCCGGTCTACCTACTGCCTCTGGGGTCCGAAAGCGGGCGTCGATCTCCGGCGAGAGTCCATAGGCAAGCCCCGCATCCGGGCGGCGTCTACACGGCTTCGGCGCCTCGAGCGGGGTCCCCTCTTGGCGGCTGCCCCTCCATGGCGCGTCCCGAGGGGTCCCGCGGAAACAGGGGCCCCCCAAAAGGTCCCCGATCCCACATACGGAGGGCGGGGGGCCGGGAGAGGAGGGAGGCGCCTCTCGGCGAAGGGCAGCGAACTTGCCCAGAAGGAGCCTTGGCTCGCCCTCCTTGGCAGCCGCTTCAGCGAAGGGTGCTTTGGCTCCTCTTCCTCTCTCCCGCTCTGTATTTAGATTTCTATGGGAAAGACTTCGGGGCTCCCCGCGACGCCTCGCTCTTTAACTTTCGATCCAAATCTCGCGGCCAAGACCTGGGCGGCTGATCCTCTCTTTCGGGGGAAGGAAGGAGGGAAGGAAGGGAGGAGGGAAGAAGGGAGGGGGGAGGAGGAGGAGGAGGAGGAGGGGAAAGAGGAGCCGTGCCAGCGCCGGAGAGAAAAAGGCTGGGAGCGCGGTCCCAGAGTCATTGCAGGGAGGCGAGGAGGAGAGAGAGGAGAGGGGAGAAAGGGGGAGGGGGAGGCGGATGCGAGACTCAGGCGGAGGGGGGGTCTCCTAGCTTTTCTCGCCCCGACCCTCCGCGGGGAGGAGGAGGAGGAAAGGGGGAGGGAGAGGAATCAGAGCCCGTCTTGGGCGCCCTGCAACGCCGCTGCCCCACCGCCAGGGGGCTCCCCTCCCTTAGACCCGAGGTCCTGGACCGAGAAGCCTTCCCCTGTCTTTCCCCCTCCTGCTCTTTTCCTATCTTCTTTCCTTGCTTTTTTCCTTCCCTCTCTCCTTTCCTTTCTTGTTCTTTCTTTCCTCCCACGCTCTTTTCCTTCCTTCCTTTCTTCCTTCCTTCCTCCTCTCTCTTTCTCTTTCTTCCCTCCTCTCTTCTTTCTCCTCTCCTTCTTGCCCCGCCTCTCTCTTCTTCCCTCCTCCTCTTCTTTATCCCTATCCTCCTCTCTCTTCCTCTCCCTTCTCCATTTTCTCCTCCTCTTTCTCTCCTTTCTCCTTCTTCCTCTTCTTCTTCCTCTCCTCCTCCTCCTCCTTTCTTCCTCCTCCTCCTCTTGCACTTTCTTCTCGCCCTTTCTCCTCCCCTACCCTTCTCTCCTCCTCCTCCTCCTCTTCTTCTTTATGATCCTTCTCCTCTCGTCTTCCTCCTCTCCTCCTCCTCTTCTTTACCCACTTTCTCCTTCTTCCTCTTTTTCTTGCCCTTCTCCTCTCCCTCCCACCCCTTCCTCCTACTCCTCTTCTTTATGCTCCTTCTCCTCCTCTCGTCTTCCTCGCCCCCTCCTTCTCCTCTTTTTCTCCTTTCTCCTTTTTCTCCTTCTTTCTTTTTCTTGTTCCTTCCCCTCCTCTTCTTCTTCCCTTCTCCTCCTTTTTTCTCCTTCTTCCTCCTTTTTTTTCTTCCTCTCTTCTTCTTTCTCTTCCTCTTTCTTCTCCTCCTCTTCCTCCTCTTTTCCTCTCCTCTTCTTCTTCTCCCTTCTCTCCTCCTTCTTCTCCTTCTTCTTCCTTCTTCCTCTTCTTCTTGTTCCCCCTCCTCCCCTCCCCTCCTCTCCTCCTCTCCTCCTCCTCCTCCTCCTCCTCCTCCTCCTCCTCCTCCTCCTCCTCCTCTTCTTTATCCCCCTTCTCCTCCTCCTCTTTCTTTCCTTTCTCCTTCTCCCTCCTCTTCTTCTCCCTTTCTCCTCCCTCCTCCCCTCCTTCTCTCCTCCTCTTCTTCCTTATGCTACCTCTCGTCTTCCTCGTCCTCTTCCCCTCCTCCTCTTTTTTCCTTTCTCCTTCTTCTCCTCCTTCCTCGTTGTTATGCTCCTTCTCTTCTCTTCTTCTCCTTTCTCCTGCTTCCCCTTTTCCTCTTGTCCTCTCTCTTCACCTCCCCTACTCCTTCTCCTCTTCTTCCGCCTCCTCCTCTTCTTTATGCCCCTTATCCTCCTCTGTCCCCCGCCCCCTCTTTTCTCCTCCCTTCTCCTCCTCCTCTTTTTCTCCTTTCTCCTTCTTCCCTCCTCCTCCTTCTTCTTCTTCTGGCCCCCTCCTATCTTTTACTCTTCTTCTTCCTCCTCCTCCTCTTCTCCCCCCTCCTTCTTCTTCCTCCTCTTCCTCCTCCTCTTCTTGAGCAATTAATATCCCATGAATATGAATAATGACGTCGCCCTTGGCTCCCGCACAAATAATACAGCACTTGAAAGGGACGCTTGATGCCTTTCCGATGGTTTCCCGGAGATGACTGGAGGGGCTCGGCGCGAGATGGCTCGAGAAATGGGGCGTGAAGTCTGGCACCCGAGATAAGAGGAGTTGGGTTAGGAGAGGGCTTAGAGCGAGCGAGCGAGAGAGCGAGAAAGAGAGCGAGCCAGGCGGCGGGAGAAGGCGACGGGTGGCTGGCAGGCTTCGCCTTTGTCTCCGCCGGGAGGGGCGAGGAGGGAGGGAGGGAGGACTTGGGACAGGGACTTGGAGTTCTCAAATCACCCTCCTTGCAGCTTCCTCTCTTTCCTTCCATCGCCAGGGAAGCACACAACTCTGAATGGGTTAACTCAACATCTTGGCCCGCTCGAAGTTTTTAGCTTAGGAAAGAAGGCGAGACAACTGTTTGAAAAGCCGCCTTTCCCAGTCTTTGAGTAGTTCACGCTTCCCACAAGTGGGTCGGGCTACAACTCCCATCATCCCCGGACGGTAGGCCAGTTGGAACTTTAGACAAGCTTAGTACTTTGCCTCAACAGTGTCACCTCCACCCTTTATCTTCCAAGTCTCTCCTCTTGGTTACTTGGCTCCAAGAGTGGGCAAATGGTCGGAGATCATACATGGGGACCTCTCAAGGGCAAATTAATCCAGCTTTAGAATGCATGAAAGAGTTGGTCGAGAACCACTAATCTATGGTAAGTAAGTAACCTGACTAGAAATTCCTCAGAAGCTTTCCAAAGGGATCATTTCTTAGCCCATGCTCCTCCAAAGATAAGTAGGATTTAGACTGAAAGCCTGTGCCTTTACTGGAAGAGACAGCTTTCAACTAGATGAGTGGCAACAGGTCTGGGTTTTGGCAAACAGAATACACTTTCCCAGGACTTGTTGTTTGTTCTAAATGGCCATCTCAGTCAGGGTGGGTATCTTCAGTGAGTCCAAGGCCAGTTGAGCTCTTCCAGAACAGTATATTGCAGGAACAGGCAAAGTTGGACCCTCCAGGTGTTTTGGATTTCAAATTCCATAATTCCTAACAGCCTCAGGCCCCTTAGGTGGCTGAGGGGGGAAAGGAAGAGGCCTGAGGCAGTTAGGAATTGTGGGAGTTGAAGTCCAAAACACCTAGAGGGCCCAACTTTGCCCATGCCTGGACTATTGACTGCCCCAATGCAAACCAAAACACAATAGCCAGAAGGTCCCTTCTACTTTTGAAAAAATGAGGAGAGGGTATGTTAAACAGCTAGATGGGACCTGTAATCTATGAAAAAGATGATCCCTTATTTTGAGAATGTTCCAGGAGAAGATATCTGCTTTCTTTTCTGAGAAGGTAGTGTGTTCTGATGGAGTCTTATGGGTTCCAGACAAGTACAGATCCATCTCTGAGTGTTTGGGTGTCTCTATCTATTGGAGTCAATATTGTTGGGTGAGTGGGCTTAGTAACAAAGGATCCTCCTCATAAATGTATAGCAGAGTAACATATTAGCAGCAGCGTGACCCAGCACCAGTAGCCCAAAGTGATTTAAACAAACAAAAACACAGAGATCAATGTTATCTCTTCCATAGGAAGCTTTTCTTTATAGCAAAACAATATGGTTGCACTATTTACAAAAACAAGGTTTCCATAACACAAATAAAGTCTGTGTTGTTGTAGGTTTTTCGGGCTGTATGGTCATGTTCGAGAAGCATTCTCTCCTGATGTTTCACCTGCATCTATGGCAAGCATCCTCAGAGGTTGTGAAGTCCCAGTGATTCCAGCCATGAAAACCTTCAACAAATAAAGTCCTTTATACCTCCTTCTTGCTTCCACGCTGGGCCTCTTTCTCATGCTGATAAACAACTTTACTCTCACAGAGCCTCTTACGGCAAAGTTACACAGGAGCTTCACATAGTAGCTTTTTACACACAGCAGCCTTCACACATGAGGCATTCAACCTGGGGGTTCTCACACCGAAGCTTCTCACACCAGGCCTACTAACACCAAGGACTATCTCCCACTAAGGCCTTCTCACACTGAGGACTCGCTCAAACTGACACCTCTCTCACACTGAGGTGAACTAACACTGAGGCCATCTCATACTGAGGCCTACTAACACACCAAGGCCCTTCTCCCACAGAGACCTCTCACAGACTGAAAGCTACTAAGCTACAGGCACACCTGTTTATATTGAACTACAGCTTTTGCTGAGTCATTGCATCCATTTAACCCTTTCAGTGCTTGACTCACAATTTTTGTAATTAAAAATACCTAGTTAATATTTAATATTTCTGACAAGTATGGCACATGTCATCTGAGCAGCTGGCTTCTCATCCTCATTCACGAATTATCTCTAGGATAAGACTGCAATATCAGCCCCACTGCCTCATCTGGGGGGGGGGGGCACAAAGGTAGGATAAGCCCTGAAACTAAGCAGGAAGGCAGACAAGAAGCAATAACTTTAGCCAAAGGAACTACCAAGCTCAGCACTGTTCTCAGTGCAGCCCACTCACAGTACTGGCCGGGATCATCTGAATTTATTTCAAGCATTGGTATTTTATAAGACCTCAGAGAAAGAAAAAAGTGTGTGTGCACAATGCTTAATTCATATGTGGTAATTCTTTTCTAAGGTCTATGTCATCTGTACAGAATGGATACAGAGATTGTGTAATCAAAGGCTTTCATGGTCAGAATCTCTGAGTTCCTGTGAGTTTTCCAGGCTGGATGGCCATGTTCCAGAAGATTCTCTCCTGACATTTCACCCACATCTATAGTAGGCATCTTCAGAGGTTGAGGGGTCTGTTGGAAACTAGGCAAATGGGGTTTATATGTCATCTCCCAACAAAGGATTCCCCCAGGCAGCAGGCAGCCAAGTTGCAAGGCCATTAAATGCTAATCAAGGTGGCCATGTGCAACATTTACATTTGCCTCAAGTAGACAAGACTTCTTTCTTCCACTCTGGACATTCCACAGATATATAAACCTCATTTGCCTAGTTTCCAGCAGACCCTTCAACCTCTGAGGATGCCTGCCATAGATGTGGGCCAAATGTCAGGAGATAATGCTTCTGGGACATGGCCATACAGCCCAGAAAACTCACAGAAACCCAGAGATACAGAGATTGTTTGTTGTTTATGAGGATATTCTCAGGGTCTGGCACATCTGATGGGATGGCCCTAGGTGCATGATATTGCAGGTCTAGAATTTCGGGTATATCGCAAATGGAAGAGTTCAGTAAAACAATAGAAGTCATGGATGGGATGTCAGCTATCATCGATATGGAGTTAATCAAGCTAATTACAACAGGCCAGCTGGATTAGTAGTACTAACAACAATCAAAAGAGTTCCAGTTCATGCTTGAGGATGTATGTAGAATCTTAGCTTTAAATTCTAGTTT